AAAAGGGTGGTGACCTTCGAACTTTTGTATTATACCTTTCACCACTCGTATTATGTATTGGTATCTTCGTGTACCTATATAAATGTAAAAATGTATTTTATAATGTCTTCCACTATATTATACTTTAATGAATGGTTTTAATTTTCCCGCGATTTTATATTTCGAAATTTTCCGATTTTGATTTTACTTATCCACATGGCACAACATGTAAGCGGGATGCGGATCACGGGTGTCACATCCAAACTACCCATTCATTTTAAAAATGAAAGTCGAGTTGTCACCGGGTTCCGCGTCTGCCTCAATCACTACTGTTGTTCATGACCTAAAACGTTGCATAACAACGTCTTAAGCTACGTGCTTAGGGAGGAATCCGGGTGTAACCCAAAATTTATATTTTTATTGAAAACGACCAAGCAATATAGTCAATAATATACATATACATGCGACGAGATATATTAATCAAATCAATCAGCAATCTCAAACAAAATCCGTCAATCTTCTCTACGTGTTTCTTACACATAGGTAAATACAACAACTCATTCATGCCAAAATACAACAACTCATTCATGCCTCTGTCGAATATGAGGCACAACAGTCCAAGCACAATCGTTTGTGAGGATCTCAAGTGATCTTCATACTCCTCATCCGTCACCGATATCACGACACTTAGTATCGTTCATCCCCATACCCGCTCCAAACATCGATCCCCGATGTCACCGACTGCCGGGCGAAGCAGCTCTATGCTAACTCCCCCTTGCCGACCATTCGCCTCGAGAGATACTCATCATACCCTAACTCAAATCTTTCAGAGTATATCTGTACTACCTCACCGGGGGACACACGCAACTATCCGAGTCTTAGGTTTATTTGCCAATCAACGGGTGACACATGTAAACCCGAAGTCTGTTTTATGGCCAATAGAACGTTGGCACGGTTGTCAAAGAATCGTACTTCCTCGTCACGTATTCGGGTGAGACACGCAAACCCGAATACGTGAGTCGCAAGATGCCATAACCGTTCGTCAGGGAACGATGGCGCGATCGAAGATCGCCTATCACAATCATATCTCCATGAGATGATAATCGATTCAGATCAAATATCATACTGCGAAGATTTACAGTCAAGGCAATCATCGTGATATCACTCAAAACCATCTACAATCACACATTGGACAATACTCGGACCCATCCGAGTAAGGTCAATGCTATGCCATCTACCCTGACAAGATTCTCCAATCATAAACGGTCATGCATTATTACTTATCGTGCAAACGGTCAAACGTAATTTCTTTTAAATTTGTTCTTATTTATTTTTATGATTTATTTAGTTTTTTAAATCATCGGACCGATCAAAGTAGGTTCCGCCCCGTCCGGATTACCAGTTCGTCTCTCTCTCTCTCTCTCTCTCTCTCTCTCTCTCTCTCTCTCTCTCTCTCTCTCTCTCTCTCGTATGTGTTAGCCTCCCCTTTTATAGGGAAGGTTTTGAGATTTTTTTGTGGTTGCGCCACCTTTTTTTTAAATGTTTTATTTTTTTAAAACGGGGATATTACAGAAATGCCTTTAAATGGCACCAGCGACTTCAAGTAGTACCCTTGAGATTTTAGGGTTTTAAAAAAAATAGAAAAACGCTGAAAAGACATTAACACCCTTAATGAATAGGACACGTGTCAAGATCAGAACGAACAAAGCGTAAATCTGAGAAGAAAATTTTTGAAAAAATACGTGGCAGTTTTAAAATTAAAAAACAAACATAAAAATAAAATATTGAACGGAAGAAGAACTTCCTGTCTCTTCATTTTCACGATTTCTCTGTAACGGACAGTGGGCGATTTCTCTTTTCCTTGGCGATTTCTGTTGCGATTTCTTCTTGCAATATCGTTCTCACTTCAGATGGCTTCGTCTTCTTCATCGTCTTCGGCTCCTAGTTACGAAGATATTCAGGTAAGTTTCGTATTTGAACTCACCGAGAAAGTGAGATATTTTTCTTAAAATTTTATGTCTGCGTGTTTGGATAAACAATAAAGGAAAATAAAACCGAGTAAAATGGGTCATGTTAGTGTAGTTATATGGATTAGAAAAGTTAGGGTTTCGGTTAGAAATTAGGAAACAATGTTTTTCATAATGTCGAGTCATATGGAACTTGAATCACGGTAATAGTGTCCAAATGGGTTATATTCGGCCATATTAGTGGAGTTATATAAGAAAAATTAGGGTTTCGATTAGAAAGTGAGAAATAATGTTATTCACAAAGTCGAATTTTATGGGAGTTGGGTCACGGTGTGAAAAAATGGTCGTACTAGTCACAACAGTCACATTAGAAGGGTATAACGAGTTAGACTAATCTGAGCAAACTTGTAAAACTGGTCACAACCAGTCACACTAGTCAAACTGGACAGGAATGTGTATTGGTCATACTAGTCAAATTCGTCGCACTTGAATGGTGTGACGAATATGACAAGTTTGACGAGTCTGATAAAACTGGTGTGGGAGTTGGGTCACGGTGTGAAAAACAGTCACATCAGAAGGGTAAAACGAGTTAGACTAATCTGAGCAAACTGGTATAACGATGTAGATTGTAATCACCAGAAACTTTGTGTGATAACATTATTTGAAAACCCTAGTTAAACTCGTCGCACTTGGTCCAAAAACCCAAAACTTTTTAATTAAGTTAATTCATCGAGGGTTTCGGTTAGAAAGTGAGAAATAATGTTATTCACAAAGTCAAATCGTATGGGAGTTGAGTCACGGAGTAAAAAATGGTCGTACTAGTCACAACGGTCTCATTTGAAGGGTATAACGAGTTAGACTATTGTGAGCAAACTTGTAAAACTGGTCACAACCCGTCACACTAGTCAAACTGAACAGGAATGTGTATTGGTCATACTAGTCAAATTCGTCGCACTTGAATGGTGTGACGAGTATGACAAGTTTGACGAGTCTGATAAAACTGGTCACTAGTGAAACAAAACTGATAATAAATGTTTATTTTCTTTTTGCAGGTTTCTTTTGTATACGATTTTAACGACATTCATCATGCTCCCAAGATCACAACAAAGTGTTATCCGTTTCAAACCATTCGCTCTCTTAAAAAGGCTCTAACAGATGAAGAATGGGCATATTTCAACAAAGAATCACAGTTTCGACACATTTTCCACCTTCAATGTGAAGACACGTTAAAGATGGTTCCGGTGTCTGTCCTTTTACATCGCGCATTAAAGCTTGAAGGAAACGTGAAAGAGTTGTGGTTTGTTCTTAACGGTGTACCCGTTAGATACTCGATCACCGAACATGCCATCATCTCTGGTCTAAACTGCGAAAAGTATCCCAAAGATTGGGCTGAACGCAGAGGACACGTGTTTCGGATGAAAATATTTGGACCTTCTAAGGTGACTATATCAGGAGCATTGGAGAAGTTGCATAACACTTCAACCACGGATGTGGAGGACAGAAAACGGTTAGCAATATTGATTTTGCTAGGCGGGGTAGTAGACCATGGTATAAAGGGCAATGATGTGATTCCCAATGCCTTAGTTGATATGGTTGAAAATCTGGAATTCTGTGAAGAGTTTCCCTGGGGGAGATATACCTTCGACAAGATAGTCGATCAAATATTGAAGATGTATGCAAGCGATCCTGAACCGAAGAATAGATGGCACTGTCCTGGATTTGTAATACCCCTCATGGTGAGTATGTTTTTATATGTGTGTTTTTTTAATATGATTGAGCTTTCAATTATAGATGTTACTTGATGTAATTATTTGGTTTATATGTTGCAGTTGCTTCCTTTTGAATGTGTGGAAAGTTTAGGCGCAAACGGATGGTATATGGATGTGGAAGATGTTGATCCATCATGTCCTAGGATGTGCAAGAAACGCATCCAACCGGGTCTCTTTGTCACACATTCAAACGTGATGAAACGCATCGGTGTAACCTCACGGGTATGTAATGTTATCATATGAGTTAAATATGTTATAATGTTATCACTGATAACACGAGCTATTTTGTCAGGGAATTCGAAGTATTCTTCAAACAGAGGGGGAAGAAGTACATATTTTGTTTAATCTACATGAAGATGAAAGTAATCATCCACTGGTAAAAAGTTGGATGGAGCAATTGAGGATGAATCCGAATAGTATTTGTTATGAAAGAATTCGTAAGCTTGATGTCGATAGTAGGAAGAAAAAAGTCAAGGGAAAGAAACGCGAAGAAAAAAAAGAAGAAGAAGGTGAAGAAGAAGGTTCTGAGGAAGAAGAAGAAGAAGAAGAAGGAGAAGGAAGAGGAGGAGGAGGAGGAGGAAGAGGAGGAAAAAGAATGGAAGGGGAAAAAGAAGAAGAAGAAGAAATACCCTTTGAAAAGATGTTGGAGGAGGCAATAAAAGCCTCGGAAAAAAGGATAATTGCAAAAGTCGAAAGGGAAATAATGGACAAAGTCGAGAGGAAGATAATGGAAAAAGTCGAGAGAGTTTTGAAGAGGGCAGGAATCACCGTTGAAACAGTGGATTTGTCCGAGGAAAAAAACAACAAAGAGGATGATGTTAATGCTTCAATGGAATGGTCAGAACAAAATGCAGCTTTTTCATATCATGGGCGAGGTATGTTCATACACGTTAAATATGTTTGATTGGTTTTATCATTCGCATTTATTGTTTAATTGATCATATGCAGGGAATGATGAAGATATTCCTTCTATTCCTAGAGCGGAATCTGAGCGGGAATCTGATGATGATGATGCAGGGAATGATGAAGATATTCCTTCTCCTAAGACCGCTTCTGAGCGGAAATCTGATGATGATAAAGAGACTGATGAAGAGATTCTTGCTTGTCCTACTTCTGCTGAAAAGGTTCAAACTCAGGAGGAAGGTGAAAAAGAAGACATTCCTGTTGAAAAGGTGGATGAAATTCTTACTTCTCCTAGGGCCGCTTCTGAGCGGGAATCTGATAAAGTTGGAGAGAATGCTGAAGAGATCTTTACTACTCCTAGAGCGACTTCTGCTGAAAAGGTTCCTATTGAGGAAGAAGGAGAAAATGAAGACATTGAAAAGGAGGATAAGGAGGTTTCTGCTGCTCCCGAGGATCCGATTCATCAGAATAAACGACCGACACGCAAGAGAAAGACGACTGTTAAAAGCCCATACACTGCATTTGCTTCGACAGATCCACCTCCCAAAAAGCAACGGGCAAAGAGAGAGTCCAAAGGTAAAAAGGGAAGAAAGGAAAGAAAGGGAAAAAAGGAATCTACGACGCAAATGGAATCTCAGATTCCTACTGCTGAAGGTAAACGTGATGTTTACGTATGGATTCCTCGAGAACCTATAGTACTTGACAATGTTGTACGAGTGGAAACTTTTGTTGAAACGAGCACAAAAAAAGCGAATGCTCTCTTCAAATTTACGCAAAAACCAAGAGAAGATAGGTTATGGATGTCGGGGTTGAAAGAGATAAGAAAGCCACTGTTTTGGGAAGAACTTCTGCAAGAAGGTGTATGGCTCACGGACGATGTAAGTATTATGACAGTTTATACTAGTTTGATTAGTCCGGCTATTCATAGTGTGTTTGATTGTTTTTTTTATTTTTACAGCATATCAACGAAGCAATGTATGAAATCCGTCAACGTGTGCAAAATCTGGAACCTGTCCACAAGAAGTTCTTTCTTTGTGACGTGCAGTGTTGTGAATACTTCAAGTATTGGGAAATAGGGCAGAAAGAACTCGACGGTATTGGACAATATATCAGTGGAGATTTACCACTTGGCGGTGGATCCCGAAAATTGGAGCATTACAAAGGTTTCATTAGTGTGCTGAATATTCCGTCATTGACAAATCCTGGCGTGTCTGTCCATTGGGTGACAATTAAAGTGGACTTCTCCAACACTCTAATTCAAGTATATGATTGCAACCGGAAGATGAAGGCGGCCACCCTTAAAGTCATTCACAAGTTATGCAGAAGTATCCCAGATGTCTTCAAGAGGAGCGGGACCAAACGAATTGACGTCTCATGCATGTTTTCCATGGAGGTAATGTCCGACCTACCTCAGAATGAAATAGGAAATGAATGCGGCATTTACAGCATCAAATATGCGGAGGCACTCTACAAAGGTGAGCCAAAATTATTGGAACAGGTGAACGATGAGATGATATATTTTATGCGGGAGAAAGTTGCATGTGATATATTTGCTAATGGCAAGGAAGTCACGGTACCTCCAGAAGAACGCCCAAAGTCTTCGTCATGAACCTCTTTTGTTCTTTCTACTTGCTCATTTTAATCAGGAACATCTTTGTCCCAGGATTTCTAATTAGGAACATCTTTGTACTTCTCATTTCTAAGTTGCCTACGAATGCTCATTTCTATTGTTCTTTGTACTTGCTCATTTTTAAAGCAACTTTTTTTCAAACCGTCTCACTCATCAACCCGTCTCACCCGTCTCAACCGTCACACTCGTCAAACCATCTCACCCGTCAAACCGTCAGAATCGTCAAACCGTCTCACCTTACTTAATTTCGCAAATTTTTCAGTTGTAAACCTTAAACATATAGATAATAACCCTACTGAACAAGTGTCTTAACTTGGAACTCATCCTAACTCCCTACTTTCGAAACCCTACCTTATTTGAGACAATGTCCTAAACCCCAAACACAACACTAAGGTTTTAGTAGAGATTGTGTCACACATTGGTTAGGGTAGATGATATATTTTTTTCAGAGGAACTTCGAATAACAGAAACACGTTAAATATGTTATAATAACCCATTTACACCACATCGAACCGCCAAAACTTGATTTAGAGCAAATTTTTTTCAAACAATCCGTCTCACCCGTCTCAACCGTCACACTGGTCAAACCATCTCACCCGTCAAACCGTCAGAATCGTCAAACTGTCTCACCTTACTTAATTTCGCAAATTTTTCAGTTGTAAACCTTAAACATATAGATAATAACCCTACTGAACAAGTTCATGACAAATTATATAAAAAAAATACAAATTACACCGAAGTCTTTATTACATAATACAAATATAAGTTCATAACTCATACGTCTGTGACATCGTTGACGTACTGACCGAACCTGATTTTCTTTTTTGAGTCTCACCAGGTCCAGGAAATCGGTTCTGTTTAGGCCTTCCACTTGCCCGTTTTTCTTCCACTATCGGCGGTAAAACCGTTATATCTGCAATGAACGATGGCAAGTTCCAATCACAACAATCAGGAACTGGATACACAGTCTCTTGGTAAGCCATGCGCCATGTTTCTCGCATGTAATATTCAGAACATAGATCGTATATCATATGGCCTTTTCCGATCATATGTGCTGCTGCAATTGCGTGACTACAGGGGTACCTATCCACGTCAAACATTTTGCAACCGCATGTTCTTTCTCCAAGATTAACAAAGTATCTTCTACCATTGTCATCCCTTACCTCAAACTCACCAGTAAAACAGTTCAGTTCTTGAACGTCAAACGTACATGCCTTCTCGTAACGTTCATGTAACTCTTTGTAAACAAATGGTGTTAACTTTTGAGATTCATCAGCACTACCTGCTTCCAACCTGTGCTTGTTGAACCATTCCACCGTCTTTCCAAGACAAATATCAAGTACACCTAGCAATGGATACTTTTTTGCCTTCTTCAGTACGGAGTTGATCGATTCAGCCCCATTGGTTGTTAACAAGTTGTACCTTTCACTCCTAAATTTACACCTTGCCCATTTCTCGGGTGCAAGTTCTTCCTTTTGCATGTACTCGGCCACTTTGGGATATCTACACATAATGACATATATTCACATTAGTTCATAAATAACACTAGTCAAACTGGTCACACCAGTCAATCACACGAATCACAAGAATTATACCTGCTCTTTAGATCATTGTACAGGTCTTCAAACTCATTGATCGTGTAGGCTGCTGCACATTTAAAGAATAATTTAGTGACGGTCTCACCATTTGAACCCTTTCTTCTTGTGCCTCTGTTAACATGCACTTTTAAATTCTGTGCTATGTGCCTTGCACAAAAGCCGTGTTGCGCTTGCTTGTATACATCTCTCACAGCTTTGATTATACTTTTATGTCGGTCAGATAACACAACTACATCAGGACCATCCGGTATTACTTCGCTTAACCTTGTCATAAACCACAACCATGAAGCATCTTTCTCTCTATCTATCACACCCCAAGCTAGAGGATATTGGTGATGATCACCATCTTGGGCGGTTGCCACGATCAATGCTCCCTTATATTCGCTCGTTAGAAATGTTGCATCAACAGCAACCACTTTCCGCATATATTTCCATCCTTTTATAGTTGCACCCAAGGCGATGAAGAGGTATTTGAAAGTTTTTTTATCATCTTCCAAATGAAGACTCACCATAGTCCCAGGATTTCTTTCCCTCAACATGTGCAACCAACCAGGAAGTCTACTATAATGTTCAACATGACTACCACGAATCTCATTTTCAGCACTATGCTTTCCTCTCAATGCCATCATATATGATACACTCGCACCGTATTTGACTTTCACCCGTTCTACTATCTCTTTTGCTGTGGGAGTTTCAAGCGCACCGGCATACTCTTCCTTTAAGTAATCTCTAACCAACTTCGCAGAACCTTTTGTAGCTTTTTCTGATTCAGATACAGGTCTGCAACTATGAACGGGATTATGTGATCTTACACTAAAACGCGCGGAATTCTGAATCGCTGCGATGCGTAACTTCCAAGCACAGCCCGATTTATAAAACTTGCATCTTAATTCCCACAACTTCTTGTCAGATTTCACTGTAGCATAACCGAAACAAGCCTTAACTGCGCCTTTCCGTACATATTCCTGAGCTGCTTCCTTACTATCAAACTCATAACCAATACTTATATTCAATCCATCCGTAAAATTGAATACTGAAAGAGAAAACGATGTGTCCTCCACAGCTACCATAGCCAACTTATTCTCACCATCACCATCTTCGTCACCACAGTCAACTTTGTTGGTTCCACATGCCATATCAATTGCATGTCCCTCTTTTAAAATATTTGCATGTTCTTCATTCATTTCATCTTCTCCTCGAACAATAATATGCTCATCATCCGAATCATCTATAAGTTGTATCGTATTACTTGCACCTTTACTCTTGAAATCAGGACTCTGAATCATATTGTTATTATAACCTGCATAAAGCACAGCCCCATATGGTCCAACACCAATACCAACACCACTAACGGAATCCGGAATGTATTGCACAACAAATTCTTGTCCACATTGTCTTCTCAAATTTACTGTTTCAATCTCCACGTGAAGCATGCTTCTTCCTCCGTTTATTTTGTCCATGAGATAAATAAACACTTGCTTGTCATTCGATATGTATATCGGCTCACTGTTTCCTTTTATAATCGGTAGATAACTTAACTGGATATTTGCTTTATCTTTGTCCACCTTCATATCAGAATATAACTCATCAACAAGATGTTTGTATGTCAAATCTGTCGGAGGAAAAAGGAATATCCCGCCCTTGGCATCTTTAACTTTTCCTTCCCATTCATAATCCCCACTCGCATTTATTGTCCACTTGCCACTAGACTTATAATAAATAATCGTCATTTTTTCATCACATGCATCCATTATGCCTGTACAAAATAAACACAAAATGATAAAACTGGTTAGATAAATTTTACTAGTTTGACGAGTTTGACCAGTTTGACCAGATTAGGGAGTATGACCGGTTTGACGAGTCTGACCATTTCTACGAGTTGGACCAGTTGGACGAATATGACTAGTTTCATCAATTTGACGAATTAATTTGGTCAGTTTAACTGATATATATGTTACATTTCACTCATATATATCATATGTATCAAATATTACCACGAAAAACTATAAACCCTAAATGCCCAAAATATATGTCGGATTAAAAAAAAGACTTACCTATTAACGAGATCTACGCTTGTTGGATGAGATTCTTGGAGATTTCAGTTGCTTTTACAGTAAATTTGCCCACAAAAATGCGCTGGAGAAGAGAAGCTCGAACAGAGAGAAGGAGAGAGAGAATGAGAGAAATTGAAGAGAGAGAACGCGATGTCGAAGCCAGGCGGGAAACAACGGCAATGAAGAGAGAGAAAACGGAAAAGTAGATCTCTATTTATTTATTTTTATATATTATAATTATATAAATAATTAAAGGGTATTATTGAGAATCTACATTTATAAGGGTACGAGTGATGTTGGCGTTTTTTTTTTTCTGAGGAAGGGTATCACTTGAAGTGAGATGTATCATTTAAGGGCATTTCTGCAATTGCCCC